CCTATGGCCCCAGGATCCAAGGTCACAGAGTTATGCTGAGATCTATCCTAGGGCCCAGGGAGCCAGGAGGGCAGTGGCACTTGGTGTTTTTCAGGAGAGAAAGACACCAGGAGCTTGGGAACTGCCTGCCTTGGTTCATGTACCCTGGAGACACCAGACCTGGAATGACACCCGCCAGGCAGGTCCCTCCTGCCCTCTCCCTGGCCTTGCATTCTGCAGTGAAGGAGGGAGCGAGAGGATGAACACGAGGCGGCCTCCTGAATCACACCAGAAGCCCCAGGCAGGTGTAGAACTACTTTCCTAGGATGTTCCCAAGGTTCTGACAGGTTCCAGAGACCTCAGCAACATCCAATAGTGGCAGACGGTCTTCACAGAGTACTTGGGGTGCCAAACACCATATCTTTGCTTTAAAATTATTTTTTAAAGATTTATTTATTTATTACAAAGTCAGATACACAGAGAGGAGGAGAGACAGAGAGAAAGATCTTCCGTCTGATGATTCACTCCCCAAGTGAGCACAACGGCCGGTACTGTGCATCTGAGGCTGGGAACCAGGAACCTCTTCCAGGTCTCCCAAGCAGGTGCAGAGTCCCAAGGCTTTGGGCTGTCCTCTACTGCTCTCCCAGGCCACAAGCAGGGAGCTGGATGGGAAGTGGAGCTGCCGGGATTAGAACCGGCACCCCTATGGGATCCCAGTGCATTTAAGGCGAGGATTTTAGCCACTAGGCCACTAGGCCACCGGGCCCTAAAATTTTATTTTTTATTTAGTTCTTTGAAAGGCAGAGAGTAGCAGTGAGGAGAGAACTTGCATCTGCTCATTGACTCCCCAAGTGGTCAAAATGGCTGGGAATGGCAGGTATAAGCCATCCAAGGGTTTGTATTCAGCCCTGGCATGACACTATGGATGGTAAAGCGCAGGCAGGGTAAGAGACAGACACAGGGTCACAATGAGGGGGTGGAGGGGTCAGGATTGCAGTCTAAGCTTCTGCTACAGTAGGATAATGGTTCTGAGTCCTCGTAATCAAGAAGCTCTCGAACACTTCCCCAGGGAGGAGTGCATTGCCCTGTGCCAGACAATGTCTTGAGATGTTTGCTTTGGGTTTCTCTCTGCATTTGGCACTTCCTCATGTGGCATCTGGTGAAGCAGAACTCAGAGAAAGGAGCCCTGCTAGCCTGCATGCTGAGGCCCTGGGGGAATGGCAGGCTGCTCCGTGGAGACTCCAGGTTTGGAAGAAGACAATATGAGGGAATGCTTGGTGCCCAGTCCAGCTAGGGGGACAGGCTTAGTTATGGGGCACATTCGAGAGAGGTTGTGGAGACACCACAAGGAATCTTGTGCTGTGTGAGAGAAACATCACAACATTGTTGCTATCCTAAACCACACCAGCACCTGGAGAACATGAGGCACAGGCAAGGGGTGGTCCCCTCTCACTGTGCCTCCTCCTCTCCCCATGAAGGGAAAGTTGCAACAGGTTTTTCTCTTTTTTTGGGGGGGGGAGGGTTCTTTTTTTAATTACTTTTTTTTAAAAAAAATAATCTTACATAGTTGATTAGGGTACAAAGATCAAGGGTTACAGGAAAGTAGGTAAGACCATTGTTTCCACATTAATATTGTTCTTTTTTTCTGTATCTGGGGTAAGGGAAGAAATAAAGGGAGAAGCCCCACCCAGCCTCCCACCCATCCCAGGTCCCCGGCATGGGCATGCGCCGAGGAACCTGCTCATGCAGTTTTGATAGTTCAACAGTTCTAAATTGCTGTCAGTCTCGCCACTCCAAGCGTGATGAAATCTCTTCAGAATCCACTGGCTGACATAGTCTCTTCATGGTTGGGGTTCCAAGATCAGCAGTTCAGTTGGAGGGATCTCCAAAGAAACTTTGTCTGAGGCGATCCCAGACCTGATTCTTGTGTGTGCTTGCCAGTACAGGGTCTGGAACCGTCCATCACCCCAATCAGTTTATGCACATGCTGGTCATTGTAATTGCTGGGTCAGTTCTGTTTCTAGCCCTGTCTTCCATGCAAACTGATGGGTGTTGCAGTCCAGCCCGATCCTGCCCACTTCATACTCGGCCTTCATGCAAACCAGTGGGAGCTGCAGCCTAGTTGGTATACTCCCCATAACCTCTGCCAGGCCTGCCCCTACCCTGGCTGCCATGCTTGCCAGTATGTACCGCAGACTTGTCCAGTCTGTCCCACATCCCATTCAGCTCTCATACATGTCAATGGGCGTTGAAGCCTAGTTCAACCCCAACCTGCCCTACTATCCAGCCTTCACACATACTGGTGGGTACCTTTCTGTCTAGCCACCCCTGTCCCTGTCTTGGTTTTCATGCTCTCCAGTGGGAGTGATAACCCAAGAGGGAGGAGCCACTATTTCCCTCCAAGGCTACTCCCACTCCTGGATTACATACTTTCCAGGTGGTTCTGAAGTTTAACTCGACAGAATTAGCCCCCAGCGCCAGCCTCTGCCAGCTGATGCTGTGGCAAAGCCCAACCAACCCTAACCCACTTTAATTTATGCTTGCAGAAGTCAGAACAGTCAGCCCAACCTGGCCTTTTCTTGATCTAGCTCACATGAGGCCCACAGGTGTTGTAGCTCTGCCTGGTCTGGTCTGCCCCCATCCCAACTCATGCTCTCCAGTGGGAGTGGTTATCCAGCAGGGGAGCCCTCCACATTCCCCCTACTGGCTTTGCTCCCTCCCTCCCTGGTATTCATGTGTGCTGTTTGGGTGCTGCAGCCACATCTGCTACAGCTCACCTCACCCTGGCATTCTGTAATGTGCACTGGTATGTGTTGCAACTAAACCTGGCCCAACCCACATTCTGTTCTGGTGCTCAGATTCGCCAGTGGGCGATGTGAACTGGTTCAGTCTGGTTTGCCCTCGACCTATGCCAAATGTATGATGGTGGGTATGTTTCCCTGGCCTGTTCTGGGTTGTTCCCTATCGTGGTTCTTACGCTCACATGCAGGGACTGTGTCCCGACAGAGGCGTTTCCGAAGCTCCCCCATCAGAACCTCTCCCTGTGCCAGATCTTGTGGATACTGGTGGGTCTATGAGCCAGTCCTCCTTGCTGGCCTTCAATCCATTCTGATTCTCACTGTTGGATGTTTCAGCCCAGCTAATGCTTGTCCATACCCAGACACTGCTCAGACATGGCTCAGTAGGGACAGAGACCTAGCCTAGTCTATCCTACATCTACCCAGGTTTTCCAGAGCACCAGCTGGTGTTGGCGTCTAGCCTGATTAGGTGCATCCAGTCCCAGTCCACACTTGTGCCAAGGGAGATTGTAGCCATATCCAGACCAGAACATAGACCCCATTATAGCCTCTGCACTCACCAGTAGGAACCCGAACCCAGCAAGCATGTACTCTCACAACTCCCCAGCCAAGCCTATTTCCAGCCCTAGATTACATGTGTGCCAGTGGTTGCTCTGGCCCAGATTGGCATAGCCGCTCACTCGTCTCAGCCTTTGCCTTCAATGCTGTGGCCTAGTATCACTGGTTCGTGCAGACCAGTCAGTGTAAAAGCCTACTTCAGCATGACCTGTGCTCCATCCCAAATTCTGTTCTTCTCTTGTTAGCTGAGGTTTGCTTGGCCCTGCCTGGTCTGCCCCCTTTCCAGTTGCAGCTCAGCCCACCCCACATCCTGTTTTAGGATGTACATTTGGGTGCTGGTGCCTTGACCTGCCCAGACTGTTGTCAGTTCCTTTACCCGTAAGTGATGGCAAGTTCCATGGTCACACCTAGCTCAGCCCATCACTACCCCAACTCATGAGCTAACCAGCAGGACTTGTGTTTCCACAGGATTGGGCCCACACTTCCCCCAGAGAATCTACCCCCTGGATCTGGTTCTCTCACATGTTGGTTAGTGTCCTGACCCTTCAAGTGTGACTCGTCCACTGTTCTGCCACTCAGTCAGGTACTAGTACCTAGCCCTGCCAGACATGCCCCCATCCATAGCTTTCATGTGGACTGGTATGTGGCAGTCAGTGATGCTGTATGCTAACAGCCCATCTCAGGATTCCCAATTGGGCTGGTGAATCAGTCTGGCCCAAATAGAACTTATGGACTCTCTCCTCCAAACCACCAGATCTCAGTCCACATGCTTGCCAGAAAGGTCCATGACCCCATTGCTGGGAATCACCCAGAATTCATCCCTCACTTACACTCACAATAACCTTATCCATGGGTGTCCCTAGGCAGCTATTACATACCCTAAAAACCCCAAAGCTTGCTGCTAGGCGACCAGAAGGCAGAGCCTCGCGCCCAATAGTTGCGTGAGGACTAGGACTAGGTCACTACCTTTCGGCAGTGACTTTGGCCTGAGTCCCCAGCATTGGGTCTGGCCTGGCTGGGGCACCCCCACAGCTGCCACACTGCAGGCAGCTGCTTTTGCCCCAGCCCCACAGCCGAACTACCACAGGTTTTTCTTTTTCTCTCTCTTCCTCTCTTCTTTCCTTCCTTCCTTTCTCTCTTCCTTCCTTCCTTCCTTTCTTCCTTCCTTCCTTCCTTCCTTCCTTTCTCTCTTCCTTCCTTCCTTCCTTTCTTCCTTCCTTCCTTCCTTCCTTCCTTTCTTTCTCTTTTCTTTGTTTCTTTCTTTTTGTAGATTCATTTGCTTGCTTATTTATTTTTAAATTTTTTAATGGAAGACTTTTTAAAAAGATTTATTTATTTTTTATTGGAAAGTCAGATTTTATAGTGAGAAGTAGAGATAAGAGAGAAAGATCTTTCATTGCTGGTTCACTCCTCAAGTGGCTGCAAAGCCGGAGCTGAGCTTACCCAAAGCCAGAAGCCAGAATCTTCTTCCGGGTCTCCCAAGTGGGTGCAGGGTTCCAAAACTTTGGGCCATTCTCTGCTGCTTTCCCAGGCTACAAGCAGGGTGCTGGGTGAGAAGTGGAGCAGCTGGGATACAAATAGGCACCCATATGGGATCCCAGCAGTTGCAAGGCAAGGACCTTAGCTGGGATCCTGCTTATCTATTTTATTAGTATTTTTTTCTCTTAAAATATGGAACACTTCACGAATTGTGTGTCATCCTTGCGCAGGAGACATGCTGATTTTGCTTGTATCATTTCAATTTTAGTACATGTGCTGCCGAAGTGAGCACCTGCTTATTTATTTTCAAAGACTCATTTATTTTTATTTGAAAGGCAGATTTACAGAGAGAGAGAGACCTTCCATCTGCTGGTTTACTCCTCAAAAGGCCACAGCTGAGCCAATCAGAACCCAGGAGCCAGGAGCTTCTTCTGGGTCTCCCTGGTGCAAAAGACCTGTTTCTCAGGCCACAAGCAGGGAGCTTGATGGGAAGTGGGTAGCTGGAATGCAAACCGGCCCCCACATGGGATCCCAGCATTTGCTAGGGGAGGATTAACCAGTTAAGGAATTGTGCCAGCCTCAGATTCACTTATATAGTTGAGAAGCAGCAACAGCCTTTTCTTCCCTGAGCCCTTTCTCTCTGCTTGCTTTAGGTGTCAGATGTGTCTCTCCAGGTTGGGGGTCTTTATCACAGCTCTGCCCCTCCCTGGCAAGGCCCAGCACAGACTTCCCACGGAAAAAAAGCACAAGGATATTCTGAAACCCTCAGCTGAGAGGCAAGTGACCAGAGGGCAACATGGGCAGCATCACTCCTAGGCCAGAGGGATAGCGCTGTTGTCTCGTGCGCGCCTCTCCTGCGACTTGTGTGGGCTCTTATGCTCGGTGAAGGCAGGCAACATGACTGGCGCCATGTGAGGGATCAGGCACATGCTTGGAGCTCAGCATGGGGTTGTAAGGGTTTTGGGGCAGCTGGCCTGCTGACCTGTGCCAAAAGCCAAGGAGGCCTCAAACAAAAGCGCGTGCTTCAGGAGAAGCTAAGAGCGCTGAGTGTGAGACCCAGGTGTGAGGTGATGAGCCTGCCCCTGACTGTCTCAGGGGAGAGTCCTCGAGGAGCTCTCTTGTGTGTGTCTGCAGGACAGGGGGTGCAGGAGAGAGTGACACAAAGAGAGCTTTGGCAAGGAATCGGGAGGGTGTCCTGAAAGGGTGTGGAGGACAGAACCAGAAGATCATGCAGGACCTTGGAGAGAGAACAGAGCACAGGGGAGTTAGAGGGAGAGTGGCCAGACACAGCCCCTCCAAAAGGAGGGGAAGAGACAAGTAGTAGGTATAGGAACAAAGCCTTCCATGAACCAGCCTGACCACAGTCAAGAATAGCAGGAGCTCAGGGGGAAACCACTGGGCCCAAGGCACCCTGGGTCTGGGAGAGCAGAGGGCCCCTGCTAGGGTGTGGGAGCATGGGCCCTGGGGCACCTTGGGTCTGCTAGGGCAGGGGCCCAGGGCACCCTGGGTGTGGGAGCACGCTGTTGCTGCTGCAGGTCTTTCAGGCAGAGGCAGGCACCAGTCTGCGGAAGGAGGCTGAGCACAAAGTGCGAGTGGACTGCAGGCTCTGCACCGCCATGTGCTGCCCTCTCAATGTCAGCACTGGACGATGTCACAGATGGGGGGAGGGGCTGGCTCTACATGATGTCACCCCGTCTTCCCCCTCCTCTTCCCTTTCTGTCTCCTCAATCCTCCCCCTCCTGCTTCTCCCCACCCTGACCCTCTTTCTCCCCACTCCTCAGCCCCTCCCTTCCCCCTCCTTTCTTCCCTTTTCCTCACCTCCCTACCTGGAGGAGGGGCATAGCCCTCCTTTGTGCCCCCAGACATTTCCAGTAAGAGTACCTCCAGCCGTCTCCCTGCCACAGCCCTAATTATGTGTGAAATCATTTTTTTTTTAGCTTGAAACCAAAGCAAACATGAGCACACAGAGGTCTATTCTCCAGGCCTGGCACGGCCTCTCCCTCCACAGCACAGAGCACAGCTGTTGGGCCAGGAGCTGCCACCCCAGGAGAGTGTGGCCCACGCTTCCTGGGGCATCTATCCCTGGGGGACAGAGTGGGCTCAGGGAAGAGAGTGGGCTTGGTTTGTTCCCATCCACAGAGACCTGTGGGGTCTCTCAGATGCTGGCACATGGCACAGTCTTGGGGAAATGCTGGAAGGGAAGGAGTCCCGTCGCTGGCTCCCCCACTTCTGTTTCTCCTGTGCTTTGCTTCCTGAACTCAGGGTTCAGGACCCAAAGTGGGAGACAAGCCAGGCTTCCCACACATGGCCCCCACTCCCATGGTCTCTGAGTGCAGCAGGTGCCTCCCATGGCCTGGGTACCTGAGGGGGTGGCATTGTGACAAGTGTGATGTGGCATGGCATGGTATGATGTGACATGGCATGGCATGGTGTGATGTGACATGACATGATGTAGCACAGCATGGCATGGTGTGTGTTACATGACATGACATGGTGTGATGTGACATGACATGAAATGATATTATGTGATTTGATATGGCATGGCCTGGTGTATGTGACATGGTGATGTGATGTGGCATGGCATGAGTGGGGCTCTGTTTTCATATGGTCCTGTATGTGGCAAGCAATAGGCCTGTAGCTCCTGTGGCCCACGAGCAGCTATGGGTGTTCCTCTGGGCAGATCTGTGGTTATAGGCCCAGGCTTTGGGGCCACCTAACCTGACACAGCCACAGGACATGGAAAGGTTGGACCCTGCGACCCACCCCCTCCTTTCTGTCCCCTCCCCACAGTACCTACACCAACCTCCTCTGCAGGATAAAGCTTGATACTCTATCTTGGTGTGGAGGCAAAGTGTCTGCGCTGCACAGGGGTCACAGCTCTGCTTTGCCACACCTCTAGGTATGTGCACACACACAGGAGGCCTTCTCAAACTGTGATCTTTGCCACTCCTCTAGGTTTACACACACACATTCGTGTACACACACAGGGGGCCTTTTGAAGCCGTGAGTGGGTTGCTTTAAGCAGGAATAGGAGGGCAGGGTATATCACCATGATGTTAAGTCACATTGTCTACCCAAGCCCCAAGTGTGACTGTGGAAGTGACTGAGTCTGCAAGATGACTGGGTAACATGGCTCTCCTTCATGCATCCATCTAAGACCTTATTTTTATTAAAAAAAAAAAAGGGGGGGGGGTTTATAAGCATTTTCAGCATTTTTTCACTGACATTTTTGTTATCACTGCAAAATGTTACCCTATTCCCTGGTTGTTTTTTCCTGGAACACCGAAATGTAACTTTTTTCAAGTGGATCTTGAATTTAGCGAGCTGGCTAAAATCTTGTTAATGCAGACAGATGTCTGCAGGTTCTGCTGGTTTTCACATCATGAATCTTCTTGTCTCCAAATAAAGCCCATTTTGTCTTTCTCTGGGCTTGCCGGTGTTAGTGGCAAGGCCTCCCCACGGCTAAGAGGGAGACGGCCTGTCCCAGCAGTTCCCACATCTGTGTGAAGCCATGGTCATCGTGTCCTCTGGGAGTGACTCTCCCAGCACGAGGCCTCTCTGTCCATTCTCTTTCTCCTCCTCTGTCTGTTTCCATGCAAACCTCACGACTATGTCCTGACTATGGACCCCTCTGGCTTTCTTGGATAAATTATACTTGATCATGAAGTTTTATTACTTTGTAGAAAAGTACACACTTGGGGGCTGGCACTGTGGTGCTGAGGGTAAAACCATCACCTACCATGTGGCATCCCAGGCAGTTCAGGTTGGAGTTCCAGCTGCCCCACTTCTGATCCATCTCCCTGCTGAGGGTCTGAGGAATCAGCAGAGGATACTCAGGCTGGGTGGGCACTCACAGCCCCACTCTGTCCTCCTGGACTCACCCAGACCTTGTCCTAAGGAAGGGCAGGGACCTCCCTGGGCCTGAAGAGTCAGGGTCTAGAGAGGGCTTGCAAGGAGGGTCTGGGGCTGAGCAGCTTAGGGGTGCCACCCTGTGGGTGAGTCACAACTGAAGCCCACCCAGGCCAGTTCTCTCTGCATCTTGGCCCCCTGGCTGGAGGGATATGTTCTGTACCCAAGAACAGCCGGCAGAGTTGAAACAGAATGGCAAAGACCGCCATGACTTCCATAAGAATTGGGGAGAGAGGAGAGAGAGTGTGTTGAAGAGACACATCCACTGCCTTGCCTCATTTTACGGGTGCTGGCCACGTGGAGGCAATTGTCCGCTGACACAGAAGGGATGAGACTTGCCTGTGGAACTTCAGAAACACCATGGCCTGGGGGCCAACACTGTGGGATTGCAAGTAAAGCTACTTCCTGCAACGCTGCTACCCCACATGGGCATTATTTCAAGTCTTGGTTGCCCTACTTCCATGTGATCCCACTTCCTGCTAATGGCCTGGGAAAGTAGAGGAGGATGGCCGAGATGCTCGGGCCCCTGCACCCATGTGGAAGACCTGGAAGAAGCTCCTGGCTCCTGGTTTAGGCATGACTCAGTCAGCCATGGTCATGTGATCATTTAGGGAATAAACTAGTAGATGGGGTGATGTCTGCCTTTGCCTTTCCCTAGCTCTCTAACTTGAATACATCTTGAAATACATCTTGAAAACAAAGCCATGAATATGTGGACTACTCCCAAAAGCCACATAGCTTTCTTTGGGAGACACTCCTGTATTGCCAGGGTCTGAGGACCACCTTGGGGAAGGACAGCCACAGACCCCTGCTCCTCACAGAACTGGGAAGCCACACGCATATAGGCTTGGTCCTGGGAGAGACTGTGGCTCCCTCCCTGAACTCTCCATTTGTGTTATCAGCCAGGATGATGTCCCCAGAAGCACTGATCAGGTAGGTGACACTGGACATGAGAGACAGCACTCACTGTAGTGAGGAGATGGCCCAGAGAGCCAACTAGCAGGGTGGTGACCAGGGAGCTCCCACAGATATGCCTTCTCGAACTCCAGAGACACAACCTGTGAGAGATCTGGGGCGAAGACTCCTCAAGATCGGGCTGCAAAGTTTGTGCCTGCAGGGAACCTAACTGGCCTTTACCAGAGGAGGCGTCCAGTCACACCTGCACACACCTGGGTGCCCGTCCACCTGCTGCGATGCCGCACAGCTCACAGGAGTCTGACCAGCACAGGACAGCAGAAGGAGACGCCCACTATTCTGGGACATAGCCAGCTGCTCCCTGTCCTCTCTGCAGAAGCACATAAGTCTGGGATTTCTCATCCTTCAGCTCTGGCCTGGCAATGGGAGGGAGGGAGGTCAATCCTTCTTCTTTCAAATAAAATAAAA